TATTTTGTGGAAAAAGGAGACACAACCACACGTGAACACAACTCTACTCTTAATGAGGAAGAGGCATTGAAAGTAGTTCCATCTGGGCTTATATACTAACCAACGAACGTCTACGCGCCGGAAAAATAGTTCCTCTTTCTTTGTGTCAACGCCATCTACAACTGGATCTAGAGTATTTTTAAACAATTCTGCAATTAAATACAGAATTTCACGTTTAGAAAAGAAATAAATTGTTATTATTGTATAAATTATATTATATTAATGCAATGAATTTTTTAGTATACTTAGAAAACGTTATATGTTCGGCTGACAAATTCTTACAAATTTTATAGGAACATTTTATAACGTTGCAAAGTGCAGTATATTATTTCACATTTATAAACACAAAATCTACTATGATTAATTTAGAATTGAGTCGAATAAAAACAAATTTTTATATATAATATACATAATAAATAATCTAATGAATAATGATACTATCTTTTTATTATATCAGAGGACCAATTAACTAAGTATACAGAAATGGAATACAGATAGGAGAATAGGGATATATGAAGTTTCTATGTTAACTTCTGCAGTAGTTAGTCCAACTAAGAAGTTACTACATTGTAGCAAGTAAAACGTCTGAAAGTAGCTTTACAGAATTCTATTTTAAGTGCGTAAGAGGTGTAATATAAAAATGGGACTTTTACGCAATATATTTCGCAGTAAGTAAATATTTATTAACGTAAATATTAATGATTATATAATATTTTACATTTAACGCGTGAATAAATTTTACTCTTATATAACTCTGTCTTATTATTTCATTATTGCAGATGAGACACTGAGAAAGTGGGCATATAACGCATCTACTTTTAACCAGTATGGTAAGAAAGATATGTCAGAATGAAATAAATTATAACTGATATAAATTATAAAAAATAATCGAACTTTACAAATTAAAGAATTTATTTAAAAGTATTTAACATGTTTTTAATTTAATATAAATGTAGGTTTAATGAGAGATGATTGTCGCCGTCTAAGTCCTGAAGTTGAAGAAGCACTAAGGCGGTTGCCTAAACATTTAGTTGAAGAACGTAATTTTCGTATTATTAGGGCTCATCAATTAGAATGTAACAAAACGATTTTACCAAAAGATGAATGGACTAAACTGGAAGAGGTAATTTAGTATAATCAACTAATAATAGCTGTTTAATATAATATAATATAATATGTATTAACAATATTTTACATATGTTCCTAAATAGGATGTATTATACCTCACCCCCTACGTAAATGAAGTATTAAAAGAGCAAGAAGAAAAAGACTTATATGAAGCTCAGTAAAATATATAATTACTTGTTAGTAATACTATTTTATGTATAGTGTATATTTTAAGAGTATTAAATTGTATATGTGATACTCAAAGTACTAAATGAAATATAATTATCATTCATTTAAATCTTTTTGATTTTAAATATATAAAATATAAAGTAATTCGACTTCCGTGAGAAACACTTTATTTGTAATTTATAGAAACTGGTATTTTGTAGGGATCACTCATATAAATTAAAAATATAATGTAATATCATTTTTACTAACTATACGTTATCATTATACCAATAACTATTATGTTAAACAATTAAAATTGATAGAGTATAGGTTAAAATAAAAAAATTGATGAAATTTATTCCTGTATCTTTACACTTTTGTAATTGCATTCACTAGAGTTACTTTGTCATTGATAATTTGCTATAAGGAAAAAAGAATTGGATATTCACAGTAAGTCAATATTTAATTATAGAATTGAATATTAAAGAATATAAAAAAATAGTATTTCACATTGATTTCAAGGAAATTAATGATAATATAATAATAAAGTTTTTTCGAATAGCAAATCTTCATTTAATATTCGTTTCTCTATATTACTTTGTAAAGAAACTCGTATGAATATCCGTAGTCTATTGACGGAGATTTATGTAGGGATGACCTTTTTATTTAACTATATATGTATGACAGACGATTATTGGTAATTATGTTCACATCAATTCGTTGCTCATTTAACACTCTTTATGCAATGACTTATTAATCGTTCCCTCACGAAGATCCGGCGCACAGTTAATGCGTAATACATTGTGAATAAAACGCAATGACATTTAAAGAGAAATGAAGGTGGATATTAGAATGTGAGTGTACTCGATCGATTGTTCATTGATTTACAAACACTACACGTTAGATTTATGCGGCAGTAAACCATTTTTTTGTATTATACATATAAGTTCGTTTCGCGGGAAAATGGCGGATCAATATCTCACCCCCACGCGGATCTGAGCGGCATCCCCAGTTACCAAAGGTTTTTGCAAATTGAATTTTGATTTTTTGAGTGAAAATTCTGTGTTCCCTTTTCGATTTTTTTCCCTTGATAAACGTTTACTTGGTTCTTCGTGTCATCAAGATATTCAATGCATACTTTCTATGCGATTCTTGAAAAATGGATCTTGAAGTGTGAACTACACGGAAGATCGGGCAAAGAATGATGCAAAAAGTGGTAATGGGAAATTGCATCTTTTACAACTTTTTGTGTATAAAACTTTATGTAATATGCTTGAAAGCTTTGCCCACACTAGTTGTCTGTCTTTTACTTTTATACAGTTTGCAATAATACCTCGTAGTCTGTAAACCATCGGTTATTTTCATCTAACTACCCTTTCGCAACGACTTCGATTTTTAATTTTTCTATTATACTCGTAAAAGAAAAAAAGAATAATTTCTTAGGGGTCAGTTTTATCAGGAACGTGAACTTTAATCAAGATACGAAGTGTCATCACGTGAAAAGTGAAAGGGTAACCCACCACCCCCTCGGAATTGAGCGTAATAAAATTGGCATACCCGTTCAGTCTAATAATTGAATTTCCTTTGTGGATGTTAAGGTACTTTGTTCCTTAAACTCGAATCTAAGACGATTATGATGTGCGTGCGAAGGTAATTGTTAAACAAAGTAGTTGCATCGCTTTCAAGAATTTTCATAACATAATACATCGACCAGTGTGAAGGCCATGTGCGTGATGCGTTAAGTTCACACATTTTGGTTAATTACAGATGCCGGAAAACCAGCGGTCAGCGTATTTCCGCGTATGGAAAACGCTGATAATGAGCAATTACAAAACCGAATATCATATTTTATATCTAACAAAAACTGAAATGTTTAGGGAAGTGTGTACACAGTAATTGTTTTTAATGCTGATTAAGCATTTGGCAATTGTATGTTAGCGTGTGAAGGAAACATAATGTTAAATATACTAGGTGCTGAGCCAAAATACTACCTCTGCTATATGTACAAAGTAACAAAATTGATTGTGTTAGAAGTAAAATAAAAATATATAAATATATAAATATATATATATATATACATACATATATATATATATTATATATGTACACATACACATATAACATATACGAATGTAAATGTAAATGAAGAAACATATATTCTAATGTAAAAGTATTCACACGTAAATGTATAGTAAAGTAAATCAGAAGCTCTTCCTCGATGTACGTCCTCGTATTCAACAAGATCAACCAATATGGAAAGAGGACATTTGATAACAATAGTTGTTTGACAAATGCATAAAAGCAACATCATATAAACAGTTGAAAAGAATTAAACATCAAACGAATAAAAATGAACATACCGTATGATGAAAATTTGGTATGGATAGTAGTGATTGGATTTTTAGTGGCCTTTGTTTTGGCATTCGGAATTGGAGCTAACGATGTCGCCAATAGTTTTGGCACAAGCGTTGGCGCTGGAGTACTTACAATATTCCAAGCTTGTATTTTAGCAACTATATTTGAAATTGCTGGAGCTGTACTCATTGGTTATAAGGTATTTTAAAAAACAGTCTTATTTTATAAATCACAAAACAAATATTATTACAGGGACAAAATATTAAATAATATTTCTATTAGGTTTCCGATACAATGAGAAAAGGTATATTAGATGTTACATTGTACGAAGGCCATGAAAAAGAATTAATGATAGGAGCATTATCTAGTTTAGCTGGATCTGGTATCTGGCTCATTCTAGCAACAGCATTACGATTACCTATTTCTGGAACACATTCCATTGTTGGTGCTACAGTTGGTTTTTCACTTGTCTGTAAAGGTATTGCAGGGGTTAGTAATCATCATTTTCCTAATGTAAAAGTATATTATTCTGTTGTGTAATAAAAAATTTTATTGTTATAGGTAAAATGGATAGCTCTTGCAAATATAGCAGCATCTTGGTTTGCAAGTCCTGTACTTAGTGGAATTGTATCAGGTGCTATATTTTGGCTTCTAAGAAAATCTGTACTCCAGTCGAATAAGCCTTTAGAACAAGGTCTTCATATTCTCCCATTAGCATATGGTCTCACTGTTGCTATTAATGTTATGTCAGTTGCACACGATGGACCTAAACGTAAAGACTTACATTTATATCTTAATACTTTTGCACGTTGAACCCAACTTATTAATATGTTTCTAATTTTTATTTGCAGTTTTAATGCTTGACAAAATGCCATGGTGGGGTAGTTTAATAGCCGCAGTAAGTTTCGGTTTATTTTCAGCTGCCATTGTTTATTTATTTGTTGTACCATGGCAAAGAAAGCGAATATTACTATCACTGAGTAGCAACGAAAATACTACAACAACAAAGTTTGGTACCTGCGATAAAAAAGAAACTACAGCATTATCTGTTATATCGGAAGCCCCACAAAGTAGTAGCAGTAGTAGTAGTAATGGTAATGCCAAAGAAGCAGCACCAAAATTACGTGGTAATAGTAGCGCAAGTCCTCTGTTAATGGTATCAGGATCAGATACCGAGGGTGCTAAAGTTGAACCTGAAAGAAAAAACGAGGAACCACCAGAGATATCTAAATTGTTTGCTTTTCTGCAAGTATTAACTGCAGCGTTTGGTAGTTTCGCACACGGTGGTAACGATGTCAGTAATGCGATTGGACCACTCATTGCACTCTGGGCTGTATATGCAGAAGGATCAGCTAGGCAAGAAGCAGAAACTCCAATACTTATATTACTTTATGGTGGTTTAGGAATATCAACTGGTCTTTGGATGTGGGGACGTAGAGTTATACAAACATTAGGTCAAGATTTAGCACGTATTACACCAACAACTGGATTTACTATAGAAGTACAAATATTTTATGGATATGAAAGTATGGTTGTCACATTTAAATTTAGTTATCTTACAGTTTATTATTATTTGTAGGTAGGAGCAGCAGTAACAGTTTTGTTGGCAAGTAAGGCTGGTTTACCTGTGTCAACAACGCATTGCAAAGTAGGATCAGTTGTCTGTGTGGGTTGGGCATCGCGTGGCGGCGAGGGTGTATCATGGAAATTATTTCGTAATATTGCATTTGCATGGTTGATTACTGTACCAGTGGCTGGCTGCTTATCTGCAGGATGTATGGCTATTTTCAAAGAAATAATTAGTATGTGACTTCGTAATCAAGGCAGCTAACAAATTTTAGTGAAAACCATCCAATGCTACTGTTGTCAATAATTTATGCAGAAATAAATGATCAAATAACTACTTCAATTAGTTATCCTTTATCTGTGAATAATAAATATGTATTTTAATTTTTTCACTATTTGCTATGAGAAGCAGGAGGTATTATCTAATTAAGAAATTGGTGTTATATCAATATGTATTAGTGTTGCCATAGAAACAGGTTTAAACAAGTTCTTTGACAATTCAGGAGGATTTTAAAGAGATGTCTAGTAAAGTTGTGGTTTCTATATTAATTTTATGATTTAAAACATGGAGGACTTACCGAATATACCTGGCTACGCGTTTCGTGATCCAAGTGTAAGTTAAATGAAAGTACATTCATTCTTCTAATTTTATAATCGTTATACTTCAAAACTAAACAAAATTTTTCTTTCAAAGATTACCGATTATAGATTATTGCAAAAGTTAAATTTTTTAAACGGTTATCGTGTGGTGCGTGATAGTAGAGCTGGTATTGGAGGAAGGCCAATAGATACAGCATCCACCGCATACATAAAAGATGCATCTACTGTGCAGTAAGTAATAAACAATACGAACTCTATTACATAAACGTCATTGTGCCATTAAAACTCAGTTAAGATTATATCCAGTTTACATTTCACACAAAATTATTTATGTTAATGATACTAATATAAAAATATTAAATACTCGAAACCAGATATGACCCATCGTTAACATATGGCCGTGTAAAAGAATATGCATATCGTCAGGTCATTCCATCCTATGCATTATTCGCGCAAAAATGCCTTTGCTTCAAAGCGTTTTTTCGCCAGGGAGTATTTAATTCTCCGGACGAACATTTCCGAATACGTCATGTGAATATCTTATATTTTTTGGAGGATGATACCGTAAGCGTTATGGAGCCTCTAGTTGATAACGCGGGCTTTCAACAAGGAAAGCTCGTTAAACGTGGCAAAATTGAAAAAAACAAAAGAGGAGACACGCTTCACTGGAAGGATTTCAATGTTGGGATTGACGTATGTACGTTTTGATGGTTGTCCAGATCTCGACCTTACGAACATCTTATAAGTCGTAAATACATTTTTGTATGAAACCATAAGTATTCATCCAGTTTCAGATATTATTTATCACAAACCATTTTAGTTATTTCTCTGGTTTATTACAGTTACATGTCATTAATTGCAGGCATTTATGGTATAGTTTATCATATTATCGATTGCGATCTATTTACCAGAGAGTTTTTGAGCAGTCAAGGTATAGACGTCGGCGACAAAGAAGAAACTCCTATAGACCCTTACACGTCATTCCGTGCGTCCAAGCAGAAGACACCGACGCGCGTTACACGGAATCCGGACGATTCCAGAAGACGGTTTTTAGAATACGATAAAATGGTATTATGCTTCACCGCCACGTGGAACGAAGACGTTTATCGAATAATGTACTTTTTAACGGACGACACAATAGCCGTGCGAGAAGTTCAAAAACCAAATTGCGGAAAAGATCCGGTAGCGATGCTGTTGAAAAGAATGAAAGTACCGAAGGATTGGAAAAATTTACCGTCATCTCATCCGTCTGTATACCTGGAATACGGCGATCCAGAAATTGTCGAATATTATTCGCCGAAAGATTTTATCGTAAGTCCATAAACAAATTAGAGAAATACAGTCTTACTTATACAGTCATTAACATGTTGACTGCCACAATGGTCATCAATGACCGAAGCTACCAAATTGCTTGGAAACAATTACAACAGGAAAATTGATATCGAACAAAAATATTTAGTAACGTAAGTAGTAACTGGATGATAGTGTAACGTATGAACTGCAATACGAAATGATTAATAATTAGTTGTAATATCATTTATATTTGTTACGAAAGAACAAGTAGTATTATACAAAACATTGAAAATTCTCATGACAGTCAACGTGTTGAAAAGACTTTTTCACCCTCTTAGTGTTATGGACGCATATACGTATGTGTCTGATGAAAATCATAGCTGTACACTACACTTTTCTTAGCGCTATTCAGTATTAGTGAAACTGAGGAATTACAATTTCAATTTAATTACGCCCTGTATGAATTATCAGAGTCCACCGATCTTCAAACAGCAAGCTAAGCGAAAAAATATGAAAAAATATTCCGTTCACACGGAACGTTTCGAGTAGGAGAATATAGCTCTTAAAGGGTTAAGATCGATCTTCGTATACATTTGTCCAGAAAAATTAAAGTATAATATCTTTTATACATCTTGAAAGTTAACGTCTCTTCTTGTTGCAGATAGGTGATACAGTTTTTATATTCAGTCGACGTTTTCTTCTGCTCGACTGCGACGCATTCACGCGGAAATATTACTTGGACATGTTAGGAATAACGCAACCGGAAAGTGTCCCACTTTTGAAGAAGGAACAGAGGCCAACGTTAAAATACGCACCGCCACCGCACATCAAATTCGGTACGCCCGAAGATACTTACGCTGGCTGTTTGTCCCTTATGCCTAAACCACCGAGGAAGAACGTTGTTCGACAGCTCGTCAATTTCCCGAAGAAATTACGTTACTCTATGCAAATGGACGTGGTACATCCCGAGGACAAGGGTCGTGATTTCATCCTAGAGTATAATCTAAGCGACGGCACGATGGTGGTGCAAGAACTTGAGAAACGTAACTCAGGTCGTCGGGAGGGTTGCTTCCTGAAAGCTACATTGGTCCCGAAACCGAATACCGGAAGAGACAATCCAGAATATTATACCCCTAAAGATTTTTATGTCGGCGCGAGAATCAACATCTTCAATCATTATTTTATCATAGTGGGAACCGATCTTTTCGTGTATCGTTACATGGAGGCGAATCCTGAGAAATTCTCGCAAGAGGTACGAGATAACATTCGCGATTATTTCATTAGACAGAATTTACTTTGCGACGATATAGCGGTTCAAGTGAATAAAATCCACGACACGGAGGAAGCGAAAGCTTGTGCCGTAAAACCGGCTGATTCAACTGTTGAAGGTGAAGCGAACATGACGAATTGTTTAAAAGAGTATGAAGCTCAAGTTGAACAAAAATACGAAGGAGAATACGGAGAATTAAAACCACGTACACCTCCGGTGGAAGAATTGTGTCCTGGTTTAACGGGCAATCCACAAGATCCTAGAAAATTTTCGAATAAATACGTAAAAAAGGAAGTAAGATGGGATAACCGGATAAAACAATAAAAAAAGGTCTCTAATTTACGATTGGCAATCACATTAAACGATTATTCTTTCAATAAAATTTTCGAACGAATGATAATTTTGGTTATAATTCTAAATACATTTTTTAAAGAAATAAATTAATAAAAATAAAGTGTTTCGATGCTATTTTGAAACATGTGTAACACCCACATTGAATGCGATTATCATTCACTATGTTTGTTATCTTAATTATAGGATTACCAATCGAAGTTGTAATTGAATAATTCGTATTCTCCGAAAAAAAGCATTTCCTGCACATGTGAAATCTTTTAATAGTTAAATTCGAATATTAAATTCGTAGTTTGATTCAACATTTAATCAAACATGATTATACAATGTAAATACTAAACAATGTAGATACATTACGAGTATACTATTCGTATGTCTGCATATTATAATACAATGATAATATACAGATATGCAGTATGTATACTTATAGTATATGTTATATCAATCATAAAATAAAGTTCAGATAAATCTTTGGGTTCCAAACATTTTTTAACAAAACTTTAAAATATGATTGAAGAAGATATTAATTACTTTCTTTAACTGAATAATAGTTTCGTGTAGAATAATAATTAGCAAGTTACTTAACAAAGTTTCAAAAACTTTGATTGACTAAAACATAGAAATTTAATAGAGCTTACATGATCGCCTATTCTACTCAGACAATGCTAAATGTTCACTTCCCGAACAGTTGAATTTATCTTAAACTACAAATGAGATGTAGCGATTTAAAAACATTAGCTATCAATTTTTAACGTTGATATATTACTTTAGTAAGTGTGTTCGTTCACTTTGCAATATTGACAACATAGAATCAAGGAAAGGAACTTCGACTGCACATGATTTAGGTATTTTTTCCTGTTATCCTTTACCCGCGTATGCAGAGAAGTAACTATCATAATTAACATGCCTTGATTAAAAAATGTTGCACCACATTGCATTCAATTAATTCATTAGCTTTTGTACAATTTTTTTTCGATAAATTCAAAATCACACCCTAGTTCATTAGTATTTTATATGATATCTGATAAATTTCTAAGAGATTGCTGATTCATAATAAAGTATAATTTCATTCTTTTGTATGAAACTTAACAAACCATTGATGCTTCATCATTTGCTTTGTGGTTTTCTAGAAATTAATTTCTGCATATAATTATACGTACGTATAATTACTAAAAAAGTAATCAAATCTATGATAAAATCTATTTTTCCATGTTTTAGTTGGCTAAATTCACATTAGATAAGCAGTTCTTGTTTTATATTAATATTCAATTTCCTACGTATAATTCCGTAAAAATTCTTTAAATTTAGTGATATTTCTCAAAGGATATTTTTTTCTTAAAAAAAGACTTCGAACAATTATCTGTTCAAGAATTTATGAAACTATGGATAAGTTTCTCTTACGATAAAAACAATTTAGATTTGTAACGTCATGAAACCAAAATAAAGAAAATATATTAAATATTTTAAAAAATAATAATAAAATTATGGGTGGTTTTAATAAGAATTATATCCCATTGAAATTTTCATCAAATAGAATAATATTCATCATCATATATGTTACTATAGAGTAACTGTAATATCATATTCTTTTCATTATATATTGTTTTAGATCGTTTTTGCAGTCCATGAATAATATAATAATAGGTAATATATATATAATTTGCAATAGATATAGAATATGCATAAAATAATCAGGTGACAATAATTTCTATTATTATCCAATGATCAAGCATAATTGTTACAAATAAACTTAAAATGTTGTAATAAGCCCTTGCACCTTTTTAACAAAGAAAGGTGAGAGTCCTTTCAGCCACAGGCACCAGGTTATATGTCCATCGAAGTTTAAAATGGTAATTGATTTAAATGACACTTGCTTACAATATTGTTCTCGCATAGATTTTTTTCATTATCAACAAAAGTTTAAGCATTTTACAAGGGTTAGTCCACATATTACAGTTTTTCTTCTTCCATATTTCATTTTTTTCTTTCATTTTTAATTTGTACGTTTAAGAAACACCTTTTCGACGAATAGCACGCAACACCACACTATATGCTTAACTGTCAGCAAGTTTAACTCGATATCCCGTGAAAGTGAATTACGTTCCTCTTCATAGTAGTTATGATTAGATAATATTTATGATGCCGACGCGACGCTAATTATCATACAAGTTGATTATTTAACAGAAGGAGATAGTCTCAATGGTGAGAGTTCGGTCACAGGAATTAGAAGCCCTTTGTGTATTCACGAAAGCAAAGGTAAGTAGTATGACGATAATTAGTCGCAGCGTGCTTCCTTTATGATGATTACTATCATGAATAGTAGTATATTTTTGTTGTATCCACCGCTACTGGCGTGAACCTCCTCTACCTCTACCACGACCACCATCACGGTCCTGTAAAGAATCATAATAATCAATATTACAGCTATTGAATTAACTTTTATTAAATATAATGCTCCACAAGTTGTTACTTACTTTGCGTTGATGATGCAAGTGTGGTTGATGCAGATGATGATCTCTTGGCATATCAGAATGTCCTCTGTTTCTATGATTAGAAGAGTGATGATGCTGTATAGCATTTGATGGTGCTTTACGCTGATCTTCTTCTGCCTGCTTACGTTCGTAATGTCCAAAGTCATCAAAGATGCTAGTCGAATGTCGATAAGTATGCAATATACGTAACACTGTCACTCCTTTCGCATGAGGGACTTCTTGTGCATCCCTTGAGTTTGTTACTGGTTTATTCTCATTATTTTCTAATTTAATGTGACGAAGTTGCACATTAGGAACATCCTTTACATAAATCCAACGTACACGAAATTGACCTTTCCATTTATCTTGAGACCAAACAGAGCTATTACTCTGGTAATCAACAGGTGACACCATTTGTGCCATGCCACAAAAATGGCCAGATCCATTCACAGAAAAGAATAAATATAAAGGTGCACCTTCACGACTGGCTTCTCTATACGCTTGATCTAATCTTTTGTTACCATGCTCGGTACTACACCAAATTTCATATTTAATGGATCTATGAATATCATCTTCAGAATAAGATTTAATAACAAAAAACCTAGCTCCAGGAGCGGTTTGATCAAATTCTACAGGATTATAATCATTTTTCACTTTCAATTCATCCAAAACAGGATGAGATTGTGATTGTACAATCTGTTGCTGCTGCTGCTGCTGCTGCTGTTGCTGCTGCTGCTGCTGCTGCTGCTGCTGCTGCTGCTGCTGCTGTTGCTGCTGCTGTTGCTGCTGCTGCTGCTGCTGTTGCTGTTGTAATTGCTGTTGCTGTTGATGCTGTTGTGGGTGTTGTGGTGGATGTTGTTGATGTTGCTGTTGTTGTTGTTGCTGTTGCTGCTGCTGATGTTGCTGTTGTTGATGTTGATGCTGTTGTTGTTGATGCTGTTGTTGTTGATGCTGTTGTTGTTGTGGCATATGAATCTGTGATTGTGGAGGTGATGGAGGTGTTGTAGGCTGTCTATTCCAACATGGTGGAGGTGGAGGTCTTTGTCTTTGAACTAATGGTGGAGGTGGTGGAACAGGAGGTTGTACCTGTGGTGGCGGTGGTGCTGTTGGAGGAGGAGCAGATGATTTACCTTCACCCCATGTTCCAATATCCATATTATGCTTTCCAGGCACAATAGGTGGTGGAGGCATACCAGCCTTCTTTCTCATTCCTTGGGAAGATGAAAGGGGAGGTACTGGCTTGGCAGGTTGGCTCGCAACACTGGCCCATGTTATCTTCCTAGGTTCTTTTGCCTCTGGTTTTATCTGTTGATTAGATGTAGTTTGCTGTTCTTGTCGTGGAACTTCTCCACTTCCTAAAGACAAGCCTTGTACACTCTGCTCAATAGTCTTAATTTCGGTATTGCTAGGTGTCGGATAATTTTCATTTCCACGTGGTGCCTGATAGTAATCTTCATAGCGTGTTTTCCTTGGAGTGCCCCAAGCACTAAAATCGCCATTTCCATGAAAATAATTGAAAGCAGGTTGACCAAATGTACTAAAACCACCTCCTGCGCTAGCAGAGAACATTCCATCCATACTATATGCATCATGACCTATTTGACCTCCATATCCGGAAAGAAATGTAACTGGATCTGTTCCGTTTGACCATGTACCATCCCCGGCACCAAATGTTTGATAAGGGAACGATGTACCTGCATAGTAAGTACTATATGGGTCACCAGTACCAATTGGATAACTTGAATGATGCGTATTGTTGCCTCCTCTCCATGAATCGAATCCAGTATCTTCTCCACCAGCATGTTCTGTCTGTGGTTGTTGCTGGTGTTCTTTAGGACCATTGCTCACTAACAGAGATGGAATTTGATCTCATTAATGTACTAAATGTATCCTTTTTTATTAAATAATCTGCAAATACTTCACTAATAACACAATAGAAGTAGAAGTTTTTGATTAGAATAAAATATTGTTGTATTATTCAAAGAATTTTGATATTGGTAATTAAATTGTTATAGAATTGTTATAAAATATTAAGAAAATAACAATTAGAGAATAAATATATGAAAATTATTTTAACTGTTTTATATAATTGTACATAATATAAGAAAAAAATAATCTTATCTTATTAGGGATGGTAAGTTTCTTTTTTTTATTAACTCTGGTAATTACAGTGATTTGCAAGGAAGTATATTATTAGTAACATTACAGTATATTAAGAATATATACATACAAATACATACAAAATTAAAAAAAATAAAAAAAGCTTATACATACACACACACGCACACACACATATATATAAGCTTTCTTATCTTTTTCAAATTAATATCCCTTAATTTACTACAATAAAGAAATTGCAACAAATTTTGTTTCACGTACCAAAGTATGTAATGACATTCAAATTACTATACAACTTATTCTTAATTAAAAAATGTTAAATGAAAAATAATAAAAAATAATAAGAAATCACCAATTTTATTCTTTTGACAAAAGTAGGTAACACTTTTAATATTTGATAATATTGTATCATCTATTTTTAAATATGTTCATAAGAATTTCTTGAAAGTCTTAAAATAGAGTAACTACAACATCAAGGAACAAAGAATAATTTAAAAAACACATACTAGTGATGTATACAGTTCCATTGACAATAGAAACGTTGAGACGTGCTAAACTATGTCGATAGGTTACTGTATTACGTATGTGTACCTGTTACAATCGTAGACAACAAATTATTTACATAATTTAGAAGAATACATAGTCTAACTTATTACGATAATAAAACATCTCAATTCGTATGTACAAAATAAATGTGGTTTTGAAACGATCATACCGGGCCCGATAAAAACTACGTACACATACAGCGATTTTTATAGTAAAATTTATATGCGGTCTTATAAATTGATCTTATCAAGAAAAACGTAAAAAAAACATTGTACAAAGATATAATGTACTCACCTTGACTGTTGGTTTGTCCTTTCATCCGCTGCATTCCGTTGCATGGAAAAATATACAAAATTTAGAATGGCTGTCTTCAGTGAAAGGTATCTGCAGAATAGCGGTGTGGTAGCAAGTCAACACACTGACCTGATTTGAAACAGCACCTGCCAATCCAGTTGACATAACCTGTCACACACTCTGTCTGCCCTTTACAGACGCCAAAGAGACGCCTGTATTTTAACAAAATAAAGTTTTCAAAAGCAATACCACGATTACATACAACAGCGTTATACCACTCAAGTACGCGAACACTTCTTCTGTGTAGAAGTCTTCAATTTTCAATCTGCAATACCTGAGACCTCCGCGTATTTTCTCGCAATGTCTTACCGCGAGAGAGTCTCAGGAAATCTTTCTTGTTACACCTCGGGATTGATAAATTTGCACAAAATTCTCAACTCCGAATAATAACTACGTGACGTGCACTGACCTCTCGTATGTATTAACAGATTGTCTAACCTATAAAACGATAAAGTCCCTATGCTACGGATCAGTCAAATACGAAATCCTGTTCACGATTTAGTAAAAATCCGTGAACAAACCGGCGAAGCAAATTCTTTTTTTACAACGATTTTTATTATTAGTTTCGAAAATGATCATCATGTAACAATTCTCTTCATTGCGTGTTACAATATTATTACCCGCCAGCAACATTCACTAGTTTCTTACTATTTCAACAGTTAAAACTAGAGAATCAATGTTGAGTATGGTCGTGTTTAATGAATGTAGTTCACACACATTATTGAATGAAGAATTCGCGTCACATATGTATTAAATTTGATAAAAATCAAATATGAGGAATTTTAGTGAAAAAGCGATTTTAAAGTACTGTACATGGTAAGGGATAAAATTCGAATGAATTTATTATTAAAGTATGACGAGAAAAATGAAAAGATTGCAATGAAAAAAATAAATATTCTGATTTAGACATTTATTTATTGCAAATACAGCAATTTTAAAACAGTATATATTTAGTCTATATATTTAAAGCATATAACTCAGAAAATAATGATTTCAATTATTAGTTTTATGTGAGTTGATTTTAGAATCTCCTTAGGATTTAGATTAAGGTTGGTTCAGTTTTGTTTTATTTTTATTTCCCTTACAACAACCTTTTGTTCATATAGTATCTCAAAATTTAATCCTATTGTTCTAATCATTTACAACAATCGTTTATTTTCCAGTGACCATAAGCTACTTTATATTATTTGTTCGTTATTCTAACAATTCATTCACAATTAATTTTTTTCAAGTTTTATACATTTTCGGATGAATCCGACAGTTATATATCACAAAAATGGCAAATACTCCAGAACTATCTGATTGATCGCTAAAAAGTCCAAGGTACCATCAAAATATTAAAGAAACGAGATGGGCTCGATCCACAAAAATCCCCGAGGTTGCTGGTTCGAACCCTTTAACGTCAGCAACTGATCTCAGTTTCCTGAGTGCATCATCAGCCTCAGCACCGACGAGAAACAGAATAGACTGAACATGTTATATGGTACTCGTGTCCAGTATTCTAAAATACCGATTGTGTAAAAAGAGTAGACGTTTTGATATGCCCTCTATGATTCAAAGTGGCGAGTTTAAGAACTATATTCGAACCGATGATTGAAATTGGCAGAATCGATAAATGTAAAGAGTTTTCTTTACGATTTAAAAATACATGTATGCACGTAATATATGTATCAGATTTCATGGCAGAATTGTTGATTCTATTAAGCAGTCAATTACGTATATGAACTAAAATTTGTTTTCATTAAAAGATTGCATTCTTACAGTTTCAAAGCAACATAATGACAACATTATTAATAAATATAGAAAATTTGCTTACCGAACATAATAAGTCCAAACTTGATCCTATTAAGACAATATTTCCTTAGAAACATTGTCACAATGCCATTGTAAATTTTACCTCTTATAATTTGAGGACCTTAAAAATTCTAATAGATAATACTAATAATTCACTAGTAACAAATTATAAATATGCAAATAATATTAAATAAGTAAAAATATATTTTTCGTTACGCCTCAATATTAGACTTTTCTATATAGCAAAGTATCTAATACCCATAGAAAAAAGTAATTGTTGTAACCAAATAGAAATGATTTAATGCCAAAATTCTCCGAAACAGGTTTACCTTAAATATTACTTTATGTATCTTAATTTCCTTATTACAATATTTTTTGTAAAAGAATCGTAGTAGGCTGCAATAATTTAGTGATTTAAATGTGAAATATGCAATTATTGACAGATAGACAATATTTACGTTCCTCGTGAATGATGGAGAGAATTATTTAACTTGAGTACTTTTTGGTATATTCATTATTGTGGTGTATAATTGAAATAAACAGAAAATCGCTAACTTTTCGAGCTCGAAGACGAGGAAAACTTTTAGATGGTATTTATTCATGTTACGAAATATGCGCTTTACAAATTAGTGATTAAAAATTTCATAAAAAATAATTTTCAAAATTTCTGTGGGACAACAATTCTGATTTTTCCAGATATGATGCAAATAAATTATGTACATTTTCAGTAAAAATTCAGTATTTATATTGTATTGTACATACTTTGAAATTGTGAATTACGTTTAATATTCTGATAAATATCTATAAAAAATTACGAGTATAAAAAAAAACTTAATATTGAAACAAAAAAGTAAAAAAAAATACGTTTTTTGTTTATTTATTTGTGCTTTGTTGGTAATGTTGTAAATGACATGGAAATAGTAAGGGAGTTACGCAACCCCACGGCTGTGGGACAAAAATTTACATTACATGTCCAGTCTCTCCTATATCTCATTAATGGTTATAGCAAATAAAGTATACAAAATAAAATATACAAAAATTTGTAAAAATATTTATTTTCGTCACAAATAATGTTATAAATTAAAACCAAATTATTTCAATTCTCTTAAGCTTTCATTCAAATATGAGATTATTAAACACAGAATTTTTACATGACATGAATACAGAAAATATGTAAAAATAAGTACACTTATATAGAACACTTGTATCTTATATACATGGTATATTATATTCTGCCAGCAGTTATTTTTCGTTTGCATCAATATTTATATACAATTTAATTATATTTAATAATTAGAATCAGAGTCTGTATCTTCTTCAAATGCATTAGACCTGGGTGGTGAGGAACTACCCACAATTTCTTCTTCACTTTCTGGTTCAGTTCTGTCCTTGTTGTCTAAAGCATAACGCCTCCAAGGAAATCTGAAAAGGTGGTAAATTGCAACGTTAATTTTTTTGCATAAGTAAAAAATATAAATTTGAAATAATAATAAATAATATAAAAGAAAATTACATTACATGTTACCTTATTTTCTCATTGAAACATTCTTCAATAAAAGTGTGTAAAACAATCTTAGAATGACCCTTTAATTGTTGATATTTTGGTGTATTCTTGAAGGCACATATTAAATGAGTGCATTTATTATTTGTTGTATTAGGATCAGCAACATACTTTGCTCCCATTTTTAGTGCTTTCCTCCTAATTTCATCTCTTTGTGGATTCACATATCCACTGAGAGAAAATTTAATGTCTTCAAAAAGCTTTGAAAATAATTTCTTTGGCTTCTGTGTTTTAAGACTTCTCTTCTCCATAGGTTTTTCTGGTTTCGGGCTCGGCTTAGGTTGTGGTAATCGTCCACAATTTTTGCATATTTTATCTTCGCCTTGACACTCAGAACAATTTTGTTTCTTTTTAATTAAGTTCTCCTTCGATGAGCTTGCTTCAGGGCTTAACAAACGTTTTTTTGAATTCGTACTGTATCTTCGACTCTCTTCACTCAAATTTTTTTTATTTATTTTAGATGATGATATAGGTATAATATCACCAAATGGTGTTCTCTGCACTGGTTTATCATTTGATTCTGTTACTTTCTGATCTTTAATTTTGACAGAACTTGTTAAAGGTGAATTAATAGAATCTTGATTCTTAGTTTCAAACACTTCAGCTGCTTTTCCAGCTTCTAATTTCTCTAGTAATGGCCTTTTCATTAATTCTCTGTTTTCTTCTTGCCTTTTGGAGAAGTTGTTCATACTGGTTTCTTTAATTTTTGCGATCAATTCACCTTTATAATCTGGTTTCTTATTATCAGTCATTTTGAGATATTTTTCTTTGAAATCATTCATAGAAAATTTATTATTGTCCTCTTCAAATTGTTTTAACTTAAACCTTCCAAAGACATCTAATCCCAAATCAACAACAACTTCTGTTTTAAATACAATAAAAGACAAACCAAATAATACTTTCAAATTTGCAGACTGCATGCAAGTTATTTTAACTCGATCAAACTTCAATTTTATTGTCTCAGGATTTAATTCCTTTTTCGTAAATATCTGTACTTGATCTTTAAATTTGTCATTTGCAGCCTCGTCATGTGATAAAAATTGGTAATTTACTATTGGAATCCAATTGTCAGGCTCTGTAGATGTGGAAGCAGTAACTATTACAACACAGCTACGATAATTACCAATATCTAAGCCTGTAATACAAGATGGTTCAGCAAATTGAAAAATGACTGTAGCAAGCATTTCTCCTGGTTTGGCACATCGCCATGATGAATTTGAACGATGTTGAAGAAGATTAGACGCAGGATATGATGGATGTTCTGAGGAACAATTTATCACTTTAGCCAGCTTAATAATCATTATTTTTTATTATATTTACTGTCGTAGAAAAATTTATAATAAAAACACCTAAAAAACAAGTATCATATTAAGTTTAAATGAAATTTATATTTTAAAGAGAAATAAATTTATTATATCGCAAAATCTGTTGCACTGTAACATCTACTATTATCACTTATAACCTACCTTTTTTGTTTCAACTAAAAGTTTAGTTTACATATTTAAATTTTAAATTTTTATAATTTTGTAAATATTCTATAATTGTATTTGCATTGTACTATAATTACATTTAATGTTTAATGCTCTTCAATATTTTACGTCTGTCAGTATACGCCGTAAAATTTACCCGCGAAATCTTGTGTTCAATTAAAGTGTTTCTACAATTTTATTATCTATATAATCATATATGATCTCGTAATATCATCAATTAAAATATTTGTTCAAATAAGGAAATTAACAGTTATTTTAATTACGATTACAATAAATAATGTTAACATGAAAACTGATTAACGTAGGAACATGAAGTAAACGCACCAAATACGTTCTGTACCATTCTCTCATTTGAAAAGAATTACAATTTACATTTATTTATTTATTTCTCAACAAATTATGGTGAGTATCAGGGTAATTAAAAATAATATATAACTAAATTTTAGTAAGCGTTTAAAGAAAACAGAAATAATGTTTTCAATTGATCATATTCAAAATTAAATCCTCGGCTTAGACTTTTTTTCGACCCCCATAATATATAAGGCAAGGATAGAGATTCGCAGAGCACAAAATTGACTCGACTCGTCATCTAACGGTGAATAGTATAAATTGTTTTTCCCTATCCTCGCAATGAGTAAGATAAGGACGAAGCTACTGTGCGATAAGGACGGAAGAAGAAATCCAAATGCCACCAACTTCTAGAAGCATCTTATCAGTCTCTGGTACTTACGCGCGAAACATGACGAGCAAGAAGGTATCCGATCAGAACAGAGATATAATTTTCCGGAAGAGAAAGAAAGACATACAATACTTGCTGCATAGATCTATATAATCCACACAAAATTCATTAATAACTCGACTCCTATTAATAATTCATTCACATTTACAACTGGGCAATGTAGATTAGACCTTCAGGTATTTTCCTGTAATATTTTTGATAGGACTTTGTTTCGCATTAATTTATCAATGATTTTTTAAAATGATGTCTCAAGATAATCCAGAATATTTTTTATAAGTTGCCAATAAATAATTCATTTTCTGAATTTATGAATGTGCGCATTCAAATTAATTCACATTGCATGTATTTACTAGTTAAAACTCAAATTAAATAAGTGCAGTTATAAAAGAGAATAAACAAGAAGAATATAGAATCATTTTATTTAAATTGTTTAAGGCTTGAACTAAATTTTATATAAAATGTATCTATATTGATAAAAAAATATAACTAAAGAATATCTTTAAACTATTACATTCTTTCTATTACAGAACAGTGGTGAAGGAGCATAGCAACAAACTATCCAATACGAATAAAATAAATGTTTATTAATAGTAGAAATATAAAATTTACTTTTTACAATTAGTTAAAAATAGCCTATTCCCTCCATGAAACGTGCACATCATCTGTCCGATATCTCTGTACACAAGTTGTTTGCATCCAGGGAGTATGTCCATTACTTTTATACTGATGTAATCCTGCTACAGCAATCATTACACCGTTATCTATACAAAATCGTTCATCTGTAGCATGAAGTACGGCATTTCGTTCATTACACATAATTTCCATCATATCTTGCAATCTTTGATTACATCCTACACCACCAACAATCAGTACTTCAGATGACTGTACATGAGCCATTGCTCTTTCTACAATATTATTAAATGATATGTATATTTTTGTTAGTTTACACAACGAATTGTTATTAATGTAAAAATACCTGTGATTTCAATAAGCATAGCAAACACAGTTTCTTGCAAAGAGAAACACAAATCCTCTCGAGAAAATTCTTTTGAATCTAGCCAAGAAGGGAGATGTTCTTCTATGTAACTTAAAATGCCAGAAAAGGATACATCCATGCCTTTTACCACATATGGTAATAATACTAATTTTTTTCCTCTTTATATATACATATATATGAAATTGTAATAAAGAATATCATTACTATATCCATAAATGAAATGATCTTACAATGCAAAAGAACATACTTCTTTGCTAATTGTTCGATATTATACCCAGGACTAGGATCATTAGAAAGTTTCAACAATCTTGCAAAACGATCTAAAAGGTTTCCAACAGCAATATCTATTGTTTCTCCAAAAATGCGATATCTTTGTTGAGAGTATGCAATGACCTGTGTGTTTCCTCCAGAAACATATAAAACGGTTGGATTCGTGCTACCTGTGATTAAGCGTCCCATTTCTATATGACCGATACAATGATTTACTGCAACTAATGGTTTATTATATAGTTGTGCAACTGTTCTTGCTACCAGTGCAGCCACTGTTAATGGTGCTCCCATCCCAGGTCCCTTTGTGTAACAAACTACATCCACATCTTTCAACATTAGCTTAGCATCGTTTAATGATTTTTGCAAAACATCAAGAATGTATGTCCTATGATGTTGCGCAGTTTCACGAGGCAGAAACCCTTTTCACAAGAATTTCGAACAAATTATACGCGTAACCTTCTAAGTTTCTTGAAAATAAATGTAAAAGGTTATGTCTTTACCTTCACCTGGAGGTGTAATATAAGTATGTCGTACATTTGACAATACATTTTCATCCTGAATAATTCCAATACCCAATTTATTTGCACTGCTTTCAAATCCAATTGCTATTACCATTTTTCTTTAAATTATTCAAACTTCAAATGACACTGATTATTTGGACAGGTTTGTAATCATCGGTACGCGGGCAAAACAAACATCCAATAGAAGGCACGGTTACATGCGCAGTACAATGATATCTTTCGGTTTAGTTACACGTATACTATGTACAAAGAAAACCGTTTACACGCGTTAAAATCCCAGAAACAAATAATCCTAATATGACTCCGCGGATTTACTATAAATAAACATAAATGTAAAAAATCATTTACAAACAACGCAAGACATTTAATAATGTGTCGAGACGATTGTAGCGACGCCTAGTGTTCATCTCGCTTGGAATGCATCCTCTGCGTTTGATGCGGCTCGTCGAAGAAAAGTCTTTTGAACAATCTCAATTCGTAGAACGTCACGCGGAAGTGAATCACCGAGAATTCGTGGCAGAAAATGCAAGTTTTCGAGTTGCCGCGGTGAGAAAAGTGAGTGTCGTTATCTCGAAAGGTTCTTGAGCCCGGTGAATGTCGTGAAATTACTTAAGTAGCGCTCACTGGGTGGGCAATTGATTTTCAAAGTGACCGTCGACTGCGAATGAACGCCTCTGACGCTTCGGTTCGGTACGGGTAGCAACCAGCGTTGCCAGAGTTAGATCTATTCCGAGTACCATCGAGTAAAAGTTTTGTGAAGTCACGTTAAAAAAAAAAGAGAAAAAAGTAATAATAATATACGATAATAGTGCAAAGGTGTGTACCAGCAAATGGAAAAAGCGAGAAGAGCCGACCTTCGCTTTTAATGAAAGAAAGGAGCGAAGGAGGCTGTACGCGTACATACCGGTTCGGACTCTCTCTCTCTTTCTCTTTATTCCCTCAAGCTTGCACTTGAGGCATTCCGCGATTCTCAAAGTATCCGTTACGACACCAGTAAGGTATTACTCGGGTAATATCTGAAATGGTGTCGCAAGAAATACGGTTCTGCCGGTCACAAAATCGTGCAGTCGGGCGTTCGCGTGACCTTGACGTACCCGTTACTCGAGCCACAAATTCCGTGTCGCGTTTCGGTGTGGCTATGAGTCGTACGCGACAAGATATCCTCCGACGCGTACCGAAAAGGTGACGTTCCGCGCGCGTCGACATCCTCGGCGATGTCCCGGTATACCGAAAAGCTCCGCGGCGGCGGCGGTGGCGGCGGCGCGTACACGGAATTTTCTCGTCTGTGTGTACGATCGGTGTAACATTGACGAGATCGGTCGTCTTATCGTGTATCGTAATCGGCTACGTGAGTGCCGTCCGGCCGGTACGGCATTACCCGGGTAATGCTCGAGATAAACTTCGCATCTCACGCGTATTCGGTTCGGTAAGAGAAAAAACCGCGAAACAACTTGGACACGACTACTGACTCGGTTATCGCGTGCACTCGACGCCTTCGAAAGGCGATCTCTGAATTTGGTTCGACTCATTGAAAGTCCACGCGACCAACATTTATGGATCGTGGATCGAAGCGTACTGCAATTCTGGACATGCGGAGATGTGGCGATGGTAAGGCATCGCGACGGGTGATGTCCAGTACCACATGTGGATTTCGCGAATTCAAATTCTGAGAAACGCTTTTGTTCGAGAATACTAACTTTTCCGCTGCTTGACCACTACAGATGATATACCTATTTGTGACATATAGAATTTTTAACGTAGGCCAGTCGACCCAAAGGACGAGTGGTACTGGTTCTTCTAGAGGTTTCATGGCGATTAATTCAACGTATTATCATCTTTATGGCCGTTCTGTCATGTTTTGAGAATTAACGTGTTCACTGCTCTCGCAGGAGTTCGGATCACCAGTTTTCGCTCCTCCAGTGTCTTCCATTTTATCACTTCTGTAAGGTAAACACTTTAGACACATTTGTTTATTAAGTAAGAAAAACAGAGGTTTTCATGCTTACTATGAGAGTATAATGGAAACATACAAGAACAATGTTATAAAATAAGAGGAATTTATATATATCATTATACTTTCAGGAATGTCACGGGACTATGATAGACGAAGAGGAGGCAGCGGTAGTGGTAGCAGCTCTAGTAAGTTACGGATGGATACCAATGTATCACAACCTAGACCACATGGTGAAAATTCTGGGAAGAGGAGAGAATTAGATAGTGTGATGCGGAAAGCTCGTGAGTCTCAATCAAGTTATTGGAATAAAAAGCTTCTGGAGGTAGAGGAGCGAGACCCAAATCGTTGGAGGCACAGTGGATACAAAGAGTTGTATGTTGGAGGCACAGCAAGTGGAGAACCAAGCAGAGGACATCCTCGCAGTCCAAGAAGTCCTAGACCTAGGAGTCCCCACAGTCCAAGACCACGCAGTCCTCGAACTAGAAGCCCACGTTCACCACGCGATAGATCACATACCAGAGGAAGACCAGCACGAAGTCCGAGTACAGGCAGTACTTGCTCTGATAGATCGTGCAGCGTTTGTTCGCCGAAAGAACGGCGGCGCATTGCCCAGCCTTCTCGTTCGCGTTCAAGATCTCTTACGCCAGTTCGAGCGCGAGCACATCCAAAAGAAATAGTACCATCGAGTTCCCGAGTAATACCAACTCGAACAAGACCACGATCACCTCCTTTGCCACGTCCACGTACACCCCCACCTACACCACAACCTCCACCGCGTCACCAAAAGGATTATAAAACAATTAAAGAGAAAGAAGCCAAAGTTCGACGCAAAGAAAAACATCATACTAGAATCCCGGAAGATCCACGTGTCCCAGATCCAATACCATTGGTAAAACATATTTCTGTCGATATATACGTAATTACAAATCATTATGGTTCTTTAATGGCAATTACTTTACTTATTACAATAAGCTGTTCCTAGCCTTATTTACATTTCGTTTTCTTTTCAATATGTAACTATTGAACTTGTGCAGATGCGTAAACCTGTAAAGGTAGAAAAAACACATACGAGTCATGGAGCAACTCAAATGATTAGGCCTCCACCCGAATCATCACCCAGCGAAGACAGCGATAGTTCTTCCACGACATCGCATGTGGGCCCACCCAGAATGACATTATCGGAACGGTATGATTTAAAACATTGCAGTGTATTCTGTAACTATAAATTACCGTAGTATTTGAAATTTAAGAAATATTTTTTTTTAATTTGATCGCGAAATATATAGTACATACATTGTATATAAAGAAAGGAGGACGAAACTGTATAAGTATATAAAATTATCTTATAGATTTGGCAAAATGGCACAATGGAGTGTAGATCGTAGAGATATGGAGAACATGCGAATTACAAAGGATGGAGAAAACGCGATGAAGGTTGTAATAGAGGGCGAAGAAAGAATTGCAAGACTAGGATACGATTCTCCGCCACCAGGTCATTATCCTGAATCATTATTAGCGCAAGGGCCAAGAGGTCTTGAATGTTGGGACGACGTACGCGTTAGATATGATTATTATAAAGCGAGAGGATATCTCCGAGACCTCACATTAGACGATTACATAAAATGGGAAGAGTGGTGGTATAAATATCAAGAATGGTTAGAAGCCGAACGTTTTTATGAACAGTGGGCCTCTTCAAACCGTCCTAGTGGTGGAAGTCGCAAGAGACGCGGTAGACGTAACAATGCTGCTCACTGAAACTTCATAAGCCAGTTACAAAACTATTCTTGAATCATAGACAATGTCATCGATAATGCATACTGTAATATTTGTTGTGCTTAGAAAATACTGCAGGTGTGCAAATGTTCTCTATACATACATGAATACGTACGTACCTATATGGAACACACACGTTTATATATGTATATATAGTATACATATATTATATATCATATGTATGTATATTATATATATGTAATTATAATAAAAGGTATGACTGTGCTGTAAAAACCTCGTTCTCAACGGTTTATTAAGTAAAATTTGATATTCGAAATTTTTGTTTTTTATTTTATTCTTCATGTTTTTTTGTACGCTAAAATATATAAAATATTCCCCGTGCTATCTAAGGGCACAGCGAAAAAGTGATTTATATATTTACTTTTCCTTTTTTTTAAAAGAATTTAAAATTTTATCTTGAAACTTATTTTTTAATCGTAATCGGTATCTTAAATTATAAAATATTACTTAATTTTATTGATTATTAGAATTTTGCTTTCTAGTTAGTAAAAATGTAGAGAGTAAAAGTTTCTTAATTGTATAAGACAGTGTAAAGATGATAGTATAAGAAAACAAATTGATTCTTTGTGAATAAATGATATAAAATAATATATATATACATATATACATACGTACTCCATTGATCATAATTTCATAAACTTTCATCAAAATGTTAACTTGATTTGAATGTGAACTCTGAACATTCCAATAATTTGGAATGTATTTAAAATTATTTAAAATTATTGTATTAAGTGCAAGCACAGTAGTTTCCAGTCACTTATTATCACTTAAGTTCAATCATTAAATTTAATACATATTTCAGAAAGAATCAATTCTCTGTCGAACATACTTTTTACCACTTTAGAAAGCAGTAATAAAGTATTAATGTATAAAGCAATTTGAATGTTTATAACTTCATGTGTAATACATAGTTAAGAAGTATTATATATGTAAAATAAGTTATAATTATATATACACACTAAAAAATCATATTTAAAATACGTAAATGAAAGAGCTAGATAAGTTACACAAGATAAGTCTACTCCAAGCAGGGGTTAAAGGTTTATCAAAAAGTAAACGTATATTTAATGAGAAAACACGCATAACTACTGCAGTAGTAGCGCTTAAAGTTTATAGTGAACACGAAATTCAAGGGAAACAAAGCTAATCATGGCATCGCAAAAAATTATACGAAAAATAATATCTTCTTCGTTGAGTCCGAAACCTGTTGGTCCGTACAAGTAAGCCATACAATACATAAATATTTCGAATTATTTAACATTTACTGTTTACACATATTTTTTATTAGTTTCTTAATAATCTAGTACAAAAAGTTTTATTTTAACAGTCAAGCGGTGCTTATAAACCGTACTGTATATTTATCTGGAGTTCTCGGTGTTGATACTGAAACACAAAAACTCGTTGATGGAGGCACCATTGCTGAAGCTCGTCAAGCTCTTATAAATATGGGACATATTTTGAAAGAAGCTGGATCAAGCTATGATAAAGGTCATAAATTGATAAAATATATATTGATAAAGTTATAAACAAATTGTTCGAGTAAAAATTAAGTATTTACCTCAACATTCTTAGTCATAATTGAATTTGATTCCTTACTTTAATTAGTTTATAGATCAAATAGATATTTTACAAATTAACTTGTAAACATTTTTTTTACAGTTGTTAAAACAACAATCTTCTTAAACGATATAAACGATTTTGCTGGAGTAAATGAAGTTTACAAAGAATGTAAGAATAAATTCAATTTTATTTCGATTTTGAAGTATGGATGAATTATATTTGATATTTATGTTCGATTTTTTATATAGTTTTTACAGATAACTATCCAGCCCGATCTACGTATCAAGTTGGAAAATTACCTATGGTATGAAATAATTATTTTATATTTTGTATTGTTATAAATAGTTAAATTTAATAACATAAAATATTACAGGGAGCTCAAGTTGAAATTGAAGCTATCGCTGTTAGTGGAGAAGTAGAAACAATTTAAATGTTGTAAATCAAGATTATTTTACAAAATTAATGCATGTACATAAGGAACTGTACGTAATGTTAAAAACACTGTAGTAGATGTTAAGTAGATCTTTTTATCACTTGTTTGTATTTCCTACTTTTCTTCTTGTTACCGTGTATAAATATATTGTTAAATCAAATATTATTACGTTTTATACCGAACAAATAAGAAGATATATATGTATATATATTACTCAAAAACAGGGTATATATACTATAAAAGTTATATTTATAAAATATTCGTATGAGTTATTAAATCATACGTGTATTAATTTATATTATATTAAATAAAAATATATTTTAAAATATTTATATATACTGGGTGAGTCATTTAATAGTACCACATA